GATCGGCAGAGCGGGGCAGCCATTTAAATTTAAATGAAGCCACAATTAGTTAAATCGCGGCTTAATTTCCCTTTGCCAAACAAACAAATCTACATGGCTCCGTCGGTTGGAGCCATGTAGTTTAGATGTACCCCACAAGGCCCACTGGCTGGAGCAGCCTTTGTTCATATTGGGCCTGATCCCCCTCCCGCCCATCCCCCCCTTTAATAATGTTTAACCAGTTAAACATTTTACATCCCTACTTGTAACGTGACCGGGGTGTGGAGATCTTGAAGCCCCTGGGCCTTTGCCTGGGCTGACCGGCCTGCCCACAAGTGGATTGCTTTGCAGGATCAGAGCTTAAGTATCTCATTCTAAGCAGTGTCATTTGGATGCCTGATTACACACGAGCGGCCAGACGGGTCGGCCCAAAGGCCCATCCAGCTCAGGTCCTGTCGGCCCACACTGGCCAGTTCCAGGTGCCCCGGAGGGAGGGAACAGAACAGGGAACCATCCAGTGATCCTTCCCCTGTTGCCCGTTCCCAGGGTCTGGCGAGCAGGCCAAGCGGAGTAGCTGCCCTGCGGGTGAGTGCACACCGGGTATGGGGGTGTGCAAATGCCCAGTCGGAGATTGGGGGCGCCTAAGGCCACGCGGGTGCAAAAGGAAGATCAGCCCTTGCGAACGGGACGGCTCTGAAGCATTTCGAATGAATCTGCCGCTCATTTGTGTTGCTTCTGTTACAGACTTTCCAGTGTTAAGAGCAAAGCACAAAGAGAATCCTCCCAAAAAGACAAGCTAAGAAGCAAGTGCTATGGTAAGTCGGCCAGAAGCGACATCCGGGAGGCGGTGCTCTGCCAGCTTAGAAACAAAAGGCCAGAAACCAGGGTTTGCTTTACTTAGAAAGTCTGACATGATTTAACACTGTACTCAGGCCACGTCTCCACAGGCGTGTAAAGGGGAGTAAGACAGACGCCTGCCGCCCCCACGCTCCCCACCGGCTCTCACAGGGCCGTAGATCCAGGGGCTGACCCTGTGAGGTACCAGGCGTCCCCTGAGAGATCCCTGGGACCTTCAGCTGGTGTCAGTGGAGCTGAGGGCATCCGGGGGGTGCTCAGCATTTCACAGGATTAGCCCTTTCACCTCTCTGCGCTCCAGCATCTCTGGCTGTGCTCTGTGGCTGGTGGGGCCTACCTGCCTCTCACGGGCGTTGTGAGACCCACAGACACCCGGGCAACACCCTGATGCCTTCCCATGGCAGGTGCTAGAGACAGGAACCTTTGTTTGTGTTTTTCTGGTTCACCAGACGTCCT